TATCAACACTTCAATAGATAAGCATATGAGCTGTATCAACACTTCAATAGATAAGCATATGAGCTGTATCAACACTTCAATAGATAAGCATATGAGCTGTATCAACACTTCAATAGATAAGCATATGAGCTGTATCAACATTCCGATAGATAAGCATATGAGCTGTATCAACACTTCAATAGATAAGCATATGAGCTGTATCAACACTTCAATAGATAAGCATATGAGCTGTATCAACACTTCAATAGATAAGCATATGAGCTGTATCAACACTTCAATAGATAAGCATATGAGCTGTATCAACACTTCAATAGATAAGCATATGAGCTGTATCAACACTTCAATAGATAAGCATATGAGCTGTATCAACACTTCAATAGATAAGCATATGAGCTGTATCAACATTCCGATAGATAAGCATATGAGCTGTATCAACACTTCAATAGATAAGCATATGAGCTGTATCAACACTTCAATAGATAAGCATATGAGCTGTATCAACACTTCAATAGATAAGCATATGAGCTGTATCAACACTTCAATAGATAAGCATATGAGCTGTATCAACACTTCAATAGATAAGCATATGAGCTGTATCAACACTTCAATAGATAAGCATATGAGCTGTATCAACACTTCAATAGATAAGCATATGAGCTGTATCAACATTCCGATAGATAAGCATATGAGCTGTATCAACACTTCAATAGATAAGCATATGAGCTGTATCAACACTTCAATAGATAAGCATATGAGCTGTATCAACACTTCAATAGATAAGCATATGAGCTGTATCAACACTTCAATAGATAAGCATATGAGCTGTATCAACACTTCAATAGATAAGCATATGAGCTGTATCAACACTTCAATAGATAAGCATATGAGCTGTATCAACACTTCAATAGATAAGCATATGAGCTGTATCAACATTCCGATAGATAAGCATATGAGCTGTATCAACACTTCAATAGATAAGCATATGAGCTGTATCAACACTTCAATAGATAAGCATATGAGCTGTATCAACACTTCAATAGATAAGCATATGAGCTGTATCAACACTTCAATAGATAAGCATATGAGCTGTATCAACACTTCAATAGATAAGCATATGAGCTGTATCAACACTTCAATAGATAAGCATATGAGCTGTATCAACACTTCAATAGATAAGCATATGAGCTGTATCAACATTCCGATAGATAAGCATATGAGCTGTATCAACACTTCAATAGATAAGCATATGAGCTGTATCAACACTTCAATAGATAAGCATATGAGCTGTATCAACACTTCAATAGATAAGCATATGAGCTGTATCAACACTTCAATAGATAAGCATATGAGCTGTATCAACACTTCAATAGATAAGCATATGAGCTGTATCAACACTTCAATAGATAAGCATATGAGCTGTATCAACACTTCAATAGATAAGCATATGAGCTGTATCAACATTCCGATAGATAAGCATATGAGCTGTATCAACACTTCAATAGATAAGCATATGAGCTGTATCAACACTTCAATAGATAAGCATATGAGCTGTATCAACACTTCAATAGATAAGCATATGAGCTGTATCAACACTTCAATAGATAAGCATATGAGCTGTATCAACACTTCAATAGATAAGCATATGAGCTGTATCAACACTTCAATAGATAAGCATATGAGCTGTATCAACACTTCAATAGATAAGCATATGAGCTGTATCAACATTCCGATAGATAAGCATATGAGCTGTATCAACACTTCAATAGATAAGCATATGAGCTGTATCAACACTTCAATAGATAAGCATATGAGCTGTATCAACACTTCAATAGATAAGCATATGAGCTGTATCAACACTTCAATAGATAAGCATATGAGCTGTATCAACACTTCAATAGATAAGCATATGAGCTGTATCAACACTTCAATAGATAAGCATATGAGCTGTATCAACACTTCAATAGATAAGCATATGAGCTGTATCAACATTCCGATAGATAAGCATATGAGCTGTATCAACACTTCAATAGATAAGCATATGAGCTGTATCAACACTTCAATAGATAAGCATATGAGCTGTATCAACACTTCAATAGATAAGCATATGAGCTGTATCAACACTTCAATAGATAAGCATATGAGCTGTATCAACACTTCAATAGATAAGCATATGAGCTGTATCAACACTTCAATAGATAAGCATATGAGCTGTATCAACACTTCAATAGATAAGCATATGAGCTGTATCAACATTCCGATAGATAAGCATATGAGCTGTATCAACACTTCAATAGATAAGCATATGAGCTGTATCAACACTTCAATAGATAAGCATATGAGCTGTATCAACACTTCAATAGATAAGCATATGAGCTGTATCAACACTTCAATAGATAAGCATATGAGCTGTATCAACACTTCAATAGATAAGCATATGAGCTGTATCAACACTTCAATAGATAAGCATATGAGCTGTATCAACACTTCAATAGATAAGCATATGAGCTGTATCAACATTCCGATAGATAAGCATATGAGCTGTATCAACACTTCAATAGATAAGCATATGAGCTGTATCAACACTTCAATAGATAAGCATATGAGCTGTATCAACACTTCAATAGATAAGCATATGAGCTGTATCAACACTTCAATAGATAAGCATATGAGCTGTATCAACACTTCAATAGATAAGCATATGAGCTGTATCAACACTTCAATAGATAAGCATATGAGCTGTATCAACACTTCAATAGATAAGCATATGAGCTGTATCAACATTCCGATAGATAAGCATATGAGCTGTATCAACACTTCAATAGATAAGCATATGAGCTGTATCAACACTTCAATAGATAAGCATATGAGCTGTATCAACACTTCAATAGATAAGCATATGAGCTGTATCAACACTTCAATAGATAAGCATATGAGCTGTATCAACACTTCAATAGATAAGCATATGAGCTGTATCAACACTTCAATAGATAAGCATATGAGCTGTATCAACACTTCAATAGATAAGCATATGAGCTGTATCAACATTCCGATAGATAAGCATATGAGCTGTATCAACACTTCAATAGATAAGCATATGAGCTGTATCAACACTTCAATAGATAAGCATATGAGCTGTATCAACACTTCAATAGATAAGCATATGAGCTGTATCAACACTTCAATAGATAAGCATATGAGCTGTATCAACACTTCAATAGATAAGCATATGAGCTGTATCAACACTTCAATAGATAAGCATATGAGCTGTATCAACACTTCAATAGATAAGCATATGAGCTGTATCAACATTCCGATAGATAAGCATATGAGCTGTATCAACACTTCAATAGATAAGCTTAGAGCAATGTTGTCCATTCAAAAATAAATTAATAAATCTTATTTTCAAGTGTCAAATCGTGAATTGAATCATGAATTGATTTCTCAATAAAATGAATTGTGAATCGTAAGACTCACTTCATTTTAGATTTTAAATAAAATATATACATTTATATTTATATACATAAAATCATATATATAGTTCTTAAAATTAAAAAAATAACAATCTATATATATAATATATAATATCAAAGTGCAAGTGTACAACTATAGAATATATATTAAATATAATATGAATTTTATTAATGTATGTTCTTAGGGTACATGTTAAAAAACTTTAAAGTATTGTTCATTGTGTATGAAAATGAGTGCAATAAATAAAATACAATACTTTTAATCCGTTTAAGAAATTAACACGGATTTAAATAAGTTTCAAATGAATAAAATTGGTGTGGTTGATGGTTTTGAGTTAAGCTTGTTAGTTCTAAATTGAGTATGAATTCTACCACTTTGAAAGTTCAACATGTATCAAACTTCAAAGTACCCCCTTATTTTGAAGAAGTTATCTAGTGGATCCGTCTTACCAGGTGATTGTGTTTTCATCCTATAACAATGAAGCACATAATTAGTTGGTATAAAATATATTTAAAAAAAGAAAGATGAAAGAAAAACTAATTACATTTCTAATACACTTGAATATAAGCTAGACTTATAAGATAATTATGACCTATTTCCGGTCACATTCCTTAGAAATCTCCCACCACTCACCCAAGTTGGTTCTGTCCTATTCTATCTCTAATAAAAAATTTTTTTTTTGATAAATAAACAAATATTATTGAAAAGGCGTCAAGATGATGCAACGAGTACAAAACGACATCCCCAATTAGGGAAACCAGTCACAAGCACTAACCAATCATATCATCTAGAAAATATGAAAAACAAACGTATCTAGATCAATTGTCCTCTCCAACCAATTATACATAATTACAAGAAGCCAATTCTCTAACCAAAGAACAACATAATAAATCTCTTGAAAGGTTCATCTATTCCACTCTAACCACACAAGCCACATCAAACATAATGGCGCTAGCAACCACACCCGCCGACACTGATGCCGACGCCGATGCCCAATCTGAGTAGCCGGCCAAGCCCAAAGCATATCCAACATTCCTTTTGGTTGAACCCAAACAACCCCAAAGAGTGAACAAATGAAACCCCACAGCCGCATGGCCACTGGACAATGAAGGAATAAATGATCCACGGACTCCGCATTAGCACAACACATACAGTATCGATTCACTAAAACATGCCCACACCCCATCAAATTATCCAATGCTAGATTCCACTCCAAAGCAGTTGTCCACATAAAGAAAGCCACCTTGACAGAACACCCAACACCCAACACCCAAACATTCTTCCATGGAAAAACCCTACTACAATCATGGTTGTTAAAATCGTGATCCGGATTGTAGGATCGTACGATCCTACTTTGCCAAAACGATCCAGATCGTTGTAGGATCGATGTTACAACAGGATCGCAAGTAGGATCGTGTAGGATCGCATGGGATCGTGAGTAGGATCGCAAGTAGGATCGTAGATTTTATGATTTTTCACCTTATTTTTAATATGTATCATTTTAATTTTAATTTTTATCTTTTTTTTTAATAGAAAAGAGGATCTTACGATCCTTGATCCGATCCTACGATCCGATCCACCAGACCTTCTCACCGATCCTACTTAGGATCCCGATTTTAACAGCCTTGACTACAATTTCCCACTAAACCCCAATATAATGAAGAAACGGTAAACTACCCCTTGGCCCCCACCCCATTCCACATCATTACATGATTACATCGGATCCCACACTAGTGATGCCCAACCCATACAAGAGACCCCACAATTCCACCAACTGAGCCACTTCCCAATTTTGCGCCTACCGCTGCAATTGAATATCCCAAACCACCATATCCCCACCCCCTAAATAAGATGTCACTGTAGCCTCCCAATCAACCACAATATCGAAGATCAAAGGCAAATGGGTCTCCAATGAAACCTCACCACACCATCTATCCTTCCAAACCCTCACCCTCACCCCATCCCTCATCCTGAACCCTACCCACCTCCAAAACTCCACCCTCCCCAGCCAAATCCCTTTCCAAAGCCCACAACCATGAGTGCTAGTCACATCCCCAAAAACCCAATCCCCTCTTCCCAACCCATACTTAGAGGCGACCGCCCTTCGCCAGAGTCTATCATGCTCCCAAGCAAAATGCCACAACTTCCCTAACAAGGCTTTATTGAAAGTCACCAACCGCCTAACCCCCAAAACCCCCTGCTTACTTACATTGGTAAATCTGTCCCCAATCAATCAAATGGTATCTAAATTCATCTCCTCCACTACCCCATAGAAAATCCCTTTAAAGCTTCTCCAACCACAGTGCCACAGACACTGGAATAACATGCACAAACATGAAATAAGTCAGAATACTACTTAACACATTCTTAATCAGCGTCAACCTCCCTCCTTTCGAAAGATATTGCCTCGACTAGTGTCAACCTCCCTCCTTTCGAAATATTCTATAGTTTATCTATATTTCAATTGTAAAAATTATGAAACTATATCAAACAAAACAATTTGATAAACAGAAGAGCAATAATATACATAATCTAGGTGGTTATGTGCGAGGAATTGTTCTGTTTCGCATGTATCAACATGTTTCAACTTCAAAGTATACCCTTATTTCCAAGTTATCTAGTGAATTTGTTCTACCAAGTGGTTATGTGCAAGGAATCATTCTATTTTGCTGGAATTTTACGTTGGCAGTGTGCCTAATGAATAGTAAGGGCTAAATGCATACATGGCTTCAAAAATAAGAAAATAGTAGATAAATTATAGAATATTATTGGGCGGGCAGATGGACACGTGTTATTCTGAACTTACTGAATAATTTTCGATTGTGTGCCCATCTTATAACAATGAGACACATAATTAGTTTGTCTCAAATGTAGGAGAAAATGTATGAAAAATTAGTTATATGGCCCCATATACACTTGGAAGGACAAACCACATAGAATATAGGCCAGTTCTATAAAATAATTTCTAATTATTTTCAATCACATTCTTTAGAAATCTCCCATCCACCTAAGTTGGGTTTTGTCCTATCCTATCTCTAACAATTATCAACGGGTACTAGAGCAACATAGTCTGTTCAAAAATAAATTTAAATAAAATTATCAATAAATCTTATTTTCAATAGCATTAATGATTCCTATTAAATTTAATGTAGACAATTAAGTCTTATTTTTTAAAAAAATTATTCTAAAAAAGTTTACTTTTCCTTAATAATATATTTTATTCCAATGTTACCATTCTTATTAAAATATGGACGACATTTTTTTAAACAATTTCAATTTACTTAAAAAAATATATTTTTTACTTGCAAAAATTGAACAAATTACATCAAACAAAATCAAACTTAACAATTTGATCAAAAGTACTATGACATAGGATTCATCATTTTCTATTGCCTTGTACTCTGAAAAATATATTTAGCAAACAATCCAAAAAGTCTATTTTTTTTAATATTTCATAAAAGAAATTGTGAAAAATAATATCTTGGTCAATTCATATATATATATATATATATTTCAAACTGTGAGACAACAAAAAAATGATGAATCTAAAGCTTATGCAAAGTTTAACAAAAATAGCAAAGTAGTCTCAAAATGTTCCATTACTGGCTTTGTAAATAGCCAGGGCATTACCAACTTTTAATTGATTCAGGCAAATTATGGTAGTAGTTCTTATATTTTTGCTGTTGCGTCATTTTTGTCTTTATAATTTCAATGGACTCAATTTTGACCTGAACTTATTATTTTGTCTCAATTTGGCCCAATTGATTACAACTTTTAGTTCGTTTTGATGAAAAATGGCAACATGATGAGCTGCAAGCAACTGTTATGCATTTATAGGCAAAAAGCTATAAACTTGTTCAATGTAATAAGTTAACCTCAACCAGCTCACTAACATTTTTCTGTCAAGAACTCTAATCAGAGTTATCAATCAGACTAAATTAACACAAAATCTAAAATTCAGGGTTCAAAAAATCAAGTTAATTGAAATTACTCCAACCAAAATGACACAAGGGGTATTATGTAGGGACTGCCGACGTAATTTGCTCATTGGTTTACGGAAAACCATTACTAATAGCTTTGGGACCATTGGAATTAAAGACAAAGAATCACTGTTGCCAACTTGGAAGTCATGGCTGATGGTGGAAGTCCAGTGTTTGGCATGATGGCTGATGGATACAATTACATAGTTGCCGTGCTTGACTAGTGGGGCTGGGCTGGGCTGTTGCACCACCACCATAGAAAGACTTAGCTCTGTATAAGAATGAATAATAGTACATTTATTCCTTCTCCATTATCAAACTACTATCCTTTTTACGCTCCTTTTCATATCTCTCTAAATCCTTCCTACAAGAAAATAAAATGAATTGGCAAATGTTTCTTTATCAATTTCTTCTGGTATTTCTCTTGTTTTCTCAAATAGTAGTTACTACTATGTGTTCTTCATTATCATCATGGTCTTCTTTTTCTGCTTATGCATGCCATACCTGCCTTGAGGACCAGCGGTTGTCATTGCTCCAATTTAAGAAAACTTTTGCCATAACTGGCAGTGCCTCTTTAGATTGTGAATCTGAGGCCTCGTTTGGGAACAGGCTAATTTAGTAACTTTTTGGCTATTTGGCTAAAAAGGTATGTAAAAAAAACTTGTATGTTTGGGATGACTTTTTGGCTAATTACGAAAAGATGTGCAAAAAGTGGGGAGAAAAGAGAATCTTTGACTTTTTGGTATGGGTTGTTGGCTTTTTGGCTAATTTAGTAACTTTTTGGCTAATTGGCTAAAATAGCCTCTTGCCAAACGAGGCCTGATTCTCATCCTAAAATGGTGTTTTGGAATGAGAGTACTGATTGTTGTTTGTGGGAAGGGGTCACGTGCGACTGGTTGCATGGTCGTGTGATTGGACTTGACCTCACCTTTACCTCAAGCTTTACTAAATCTATCTTCGTTGACATCTCTCAGTCTTGTTTATTGTCATCTGCATGGGAAATTCTCAGAAAACATTTTTCACCTTCCAAACCTACGAAAGCTCAACTTACGGGTTAATATGAAACTCACAGGTAAACTTCCAAACTTCAATGTGACTAGTTCCCTTCAGTTTCTTGATCTCTCTTGGACAAGTTTTTCCGGTCAACTACCTGATTGAAGCAGCAATCTTAAAGCCTTGAATAGTTTGTACCTCTCTCAATGCAATTTTTCAAGGTCCATTCCAGCTTCTCTTTGTAACCTTACACAAATCACTGATTTAGACTTCTCATCTAATAGTTTCAGCAGTCAAATTCCCTCATTAATTTCAAACCTTGCAAAGCTTACTAACTTGATTCTTTCACTAAACAATTTGAACGGACAAATACGGGATTCCCTTGGCAATATGAGCCAACTTACTGACTTGGACATTTCTGTAAATTAGCTAATTGGTCCCATTCCTCCATATGCTGTTGGGGTTTCAATGCTAACTTCTCTCCAATTGAGTCGTAACTCACTCATTGGGACAATACCATCTTCGCTGCTTGCTCTACCTTCACTGATTAATATAGATTTGAGTGACAATAAGCTACAGGGACCAATTCCAAGATCAGTTTATGAACTCCAGAATCTAACAGACTTGGTGCTTTCATCAAATAACTTAAGTGGTGTAGTGGATCTAGATAAGCTTCTAAAGCTTAAAAATCTAATCTCTCTTGATCTCTCATATAATGGTCCCTCATTGAGCATCAACAACAGTGTTAACTCTACCTTGATCAACTTTGACACTATAGGATTAGCTTCTTGCAACTTGAGCGAATTCCCAAACTTTTTCAGAGAGCAAGCTGGATTGGCTTCTCTAGACCTTTCAAAAAACAAAATTCATGGTGAAGTTCCCAAATGGATATTTGATGTGGGGGAAAATACATTGGGTATTTTAGATCTTTCTCATAATTTCCTTACAAGTTTAGAGTCTTCCATGGCAGCCGCTAGAATATATTGACCTGCACTCCAACTTACTCAGAGGCCCACTCCCTGTTCCACCTATCACCACAATTCTTTTCTCTCTCAAACAATAAATTGACTGGAGAAATCCCTCCATTGATTTGTGGTCTAAGGTCACTTGGTATTCTTGATTTGTCTAAGAACAGTTTGAGTGGCTTGATTCCACAATGTTCGGGAAACTTGAGCAATCTCTTCGTGTTGAATTTAGGGATCAATGGCTTTTACGGTACCTTTATTGCAGCATTTACAAAAGGCAATTGGCTAAGGAATCTTAACTTGAATGGCAACCAAATTGAAGGACAAGTTCCGCTATCTTTACTCAATTGTAGACACTTGGAAGTTCTAAACCTTGGAAAAAACAAGACAAATGATACATTTCCACACTAGTTGAAAACTCTTCTAGAATTGCACGTTCTTGTCTTGAGTTTTAATAGGTTTCATTGTCGCATAGGCACCTCCAAGACCAAAGGCAAGCATCGTCTTCCTAAGTTGAGAATTATTGACATATCTTGCAATGAGTTCACTAGCCTTTTGCCAGCAAATTATATCAAACAATTTGGAGCTATGATGAATGTTGATAAACATGAAATAAAATTGAAATACATGGGCAACGACTATTATGAAGATTCTGTGGTGGTGGTGATTAAGGGATCTGAGATTGAATTATCAAGAATCTTAACAATCTTGTCAATCATTGATTTTTCAATAAATAAATTCTGAGGAGAGATTCTGAAATCCATTGGGAGGCTTAATTCACTTTGGGGTCTTAACTTATCCCATAACAACCTTGAAGGCCACATTCCAACTTCACTTGGAAATTTAACAAACGTTGAATCATTGGACCTTTCTTCAAACGAGCTTGTTGGGGTGATTTCTCAACAATTGACGAGTTTGATGTTTCTTGAGATACTAAACCTTTAGGACAACCAACTTGCAAGACCAATTCCTCAAGGGAACCAGTTTAATACATTTGGAAGGTGATTCATACAGTGGGAACTTGGCCTTACGTGGATTCCTTTTATCGAAGAAATGTAAGGAACTACAGCCACTGTCACCTCCACCAACACTCCAACAAGACGAGAATTCAGACAAGTCAAGTGGATTTAGCTGGCAAGTTGTAGTGTTGTGGTATGGATGCGGATTTGTATTTGGAATGGTTATGGGATATATTATGTTTGTAACTCAAAGACCAGAATGGCTTATGAAAATTGTTGATGGAAAACATCATACGAATGTGAAAAGGTCTAAGAAGGGTGCCCACTGATGCAGTGAAAGAAGAAATCAACAAAGACAAATGGCATTATCAGGTAATTGGAATTTATCTTTGCAACATTACTTTGTTGGATTATTTTTTATGGTTTCTATCTATAGGCTATATTTTTGTTACAAATGCTTTTTATTTCAGAACTAGATATTTTTCTTAGTTGCACAATAAAGAAATGGAATCCAGTTGAAGGGGTGTCTCACCAATTTGCTGCATTTGAGTGTATGTGCATTCAGATAGCAGCTACACAAGATCACTTCAAAAGCTTTACCATTGCTGCTTTATTAAATTCTAAAGTTAAGTTGTGTAGTTTTCTTAAAGCGTTGAGTTAAATAAGAGTTTCATGTCATGAATTTTTTTTCTTTTTTTTTTCTCGCATCATGTAACAACCTTTGGAGATTTTCACTTTTGTATGTAGTTGCTTTTAAATTGGATTTCAGTCACAAAAGACTAGGCATTGCCAAGTTTTTATCTTTGAAATGCAATCTTACAAGTTACAACCATTCCCCTTGTTACATTCTAAATCATTTTGAGTAATAGAAATGTTGGCTACTAGATAGAGAATTCGCATAGAAAATAATGTTATATGTTAGTTTGAGCAGTGCTTTTACTCGTCGCTATTGTAGTCCAGCAGAGCTTTTGTTCTCTTTCACATCTTTCTATCAACAGACAGAATTGATGATAATTATTATTATTATTTTTCATCTTCATTGGCGATTGGAGAATCAAACTAGAGATATGTACTAGCATTTGTTCTATAGACGTGGGAATTTTGTTATTAATTGTAGTATGAAAATGGTATTAATTGAAAAGGTCGCTTATAGGCAAGAATGTTGTTGGGATTGTGAAGTCTGATTAATTAGTACTATACATTTCATTACACAATCATGGATCCAACTGATGTGACCATGTGATTTTAATGCATTGTTTTATTTTCTCTTTCCTTTTTTTCTTTTTTCTTTCTTTCTTTCTAGTTTATAGCTAAAAATGATGGTTTGGTGTACTGAAATTGTTATTGTGTTCTAAGAAGTTAATTTTTTTTTTTTAATTTTAGAAAGTTTTAATTCTGTCTTTATATATTGTTGATGTTTCTCTGCCAATTCTCTCAAATACTATGGAGTATTGATGAGTCCAGATCCTCTGCCATGGTTTCTTGCCATGGTCCCTGCCGTGATGCCAAAATGTCGTTTTGGCGTTAAATTCAAAAAAAAAAATTTCCTCTGTTTTCCCTTTCTCCCTCAATTGTTGATACAGCCCTAAACCTTAAGAGAGAGGCGAACTTGAATGGCTCCTTTGACGCAGAGGAGGGTAGGTGACGACAGTTGCGCTAGGCGAGGTGAGGCGACAGTTAGGTCTCTCCTCTTCCATCTTCATTCTCATGTGGTGCTTAAATATGTATGTATATATATATATATATGATTTTTATGTATATATATATGATTTCTGGATTTGAATTTCTTGTTGATTTTGTAAATGGGTTTGATTTCTAGGGGTTTTTTCCCCCTCTTTTCCCCTTTACGATTTCTCCTTCCAAAAAATAGGAATCCAAAAATCAAATTATATGTATGATTTTTCATTTGAGCATATCAATTTTTGATTCTCCAAATCACTTTGTATCTATAAAAAAAAATTTGAGATTTCTCCCATTACATTGTTTGAACAAGAGGGACCTACATGGGATTTGTTAAAGCAAATATAATATGGTTTTTCCTATAATATTTTCATATATGATTTGTAATTTTCTGAGTTCCTAGTTTCACTGTGACTGTACTTCTGTTTTTGCTCATACAATGACCAAGGTAATCTGTGATTATTAATTTGTAGATTTTGTGATTGAACGACAACAATTGGTTGTGGTTGGGCATGATGTCTCAAGTTAGGACCTGTTGAAAAGATTTGCTAAACTTTGAAGTAATTTGATATCTTACTTTGATGACTTGGAAGGACATAATTTTTTTGTGAAGATGATAATACAGTATGTGTTTAATTAGGATTGAATTGACATTCTTTTTTGGTGTGCCATACAATCTATGTTTTTGCTGGTAATGGAATAAAACAATTGTAATTACCTAAAAAAAAAGGGGAAAAAAAAATTTGTGATTGATGATAAGTAGAACAATTGTGGTTAGAAGCCAATTTATTTATTTTGACTTAATTGGTTTTCAGTGATTAGACTATTATTCTTAAATTGATCCTTATTTATATTTAAATATTTTATTGTTTCTTTGCAATGGCATAATGATGGTTAAATCACTGATGTTGCTAAAATTCTTTTATCATTTTTGTTGTAATTTTTTTTTTATCATTTTTATTGAAATTGGGGTTTCCATTTTAATTCAAATCATTGATAATTGAAATCCTTGTGCTTTTGTAGGTAATGGAACAATATTGTTAATGAGTTGGACACTTATTGTTGGAAGCTGAAACTGGGGATGTTGCTCCCACATTCTTCTAGGAGTTGATTCAAGATTCAAGTGTTTGTCACTTTGCAATTCAAGACTGACATCGCAAGCCTAAAACAATCTTGCGGGCAGTCACGTAGATGGTCCTTCAAATGACGCATTGAGGTGATGAAAGATACAATGTTTTGGTTTAGTTAGATGTTATTTTAGTTGGATGTTGTTTTGGTGATTTTAGCCTTATGTTCAAATTAAAAGCCTTGATATGAACAAAATTGATTGAATGTTAATTGATTTCAGCCTTATTATGTTAATTGGCAAAATGTTTTGGTTTAATTGCCTTGATGTTAATTGATTTCGACCTTGTGTTAATTGACTGAATGATAAACTAAGGATGAAAACTGCTTAAGTTTTCCAGCATTAATCTGGACTGTTTGGTTTTTCCAATAAAATTCTCACCTGGAGTGAACTTGGTTGTTTCTATGGCATTCCATCTGTGTATTTGGACAATCATCAAAAAGCCTTAATATTTGTCAAGATAGCAAGAACAGCACTGATATACATTCCCAATCATTTCAATAATAGCAACAACATTTCAAAATCAACAATTTTCAAAACTTCTAAATTCCCAACTATTTCAATAATAGCAACAACATTTCAAATTTCACAATTTTCAGAAGTTCTACATTCCCAACCATTTCAAAAATCAAACTAGTCAATTACAACATCGAAACATAGTTACTTCTTCATAATTAAAATAATAGCAATTACAAGTAACACCAATTATACAATCAAAAGTTTATTGCTTATTGCGTCTTCGCGGTCAAAAATCAAAGTTGTTCACTAACACTCTCCATATCTTATAACTTCACTTTGCAATAGCACAACTCTCTCTTATAATTCCATCACTTCTTTGTGTTGCATTTGTAGGACACATTACTCATTCCTGGTATAGAATGATCTCCACATTGATAATAGTACACTTTGTTGGGCTTCAACCCTGCAAAAAGAAGAGGAGAAGAAAAAAATAAAATAAAAGAAGCTCAAATTAACACATCACAACAAATTCATCACTACTGTGTCTATGGCTTCAACCCTAATGTTCGTAATTATAGATTTAACAAAATTAATTTCCAATGACGCACTCATGTGAAGTGGAAAAAATTGAATTGCTCTGTTTTGAGACATATATCAATTTCATTCAATAAAAATAACAATTGTTAATCAACTCAATCAAACCGTAAACTAAGAAATGAACATTATACTAACACAATTCATTGAGGCCTAACTACATACACATCATATGTGCAATTTTGACAACACAAACCATATCTTGACCTTGGGAAGATGGATTACCTTACTCCAATCACTCATCTTTTCCACTATTTTTGTGGATTCAATCTTCCTTATAGGTAAGCAAATAGTTTTGCTTGTAAAGAGCATGGTGAGGCTGCAATCTACAATCTTTGGCAACAAATCTAGACATTGACACCATAGAAGATCGGATGGAAAGGGAAGACAAAGAATCAATGGAGGGGGTTCAGTTCAGACCATTCCTCTGTTCTTTGAAACTGATTAGGGCTTTGAAACTGACGAGAGAGAAAGGAAAAGAGGGGAGCAAACTCCTAGAAATCAAACCTATTTACGAAAGCAACAAGAAATTCAAATCAAGAAATCATATACATATAAATCATATATATACATACATATTTAAGCACCACATGAAAATGAAGATGGAAGAGGAGACCTCACCGCCGCCTCATCTCGCCTAGTTGCAGCTGCTGTCGCCTCTGGAGTCGCCGTCGCCCACCCTCCTCTGCGTCGGAGGAGCCCTTCAAGTCTGCCTCTCTCATGAGGGTTAGGGTTGTCTCAACAATTGAAGAAGAAAGGGCAAAAGGAGAAGGAAATGTTTTTTTTGAATTTATTATCAAAACGATGTCGTTTTGGCACCACGGTAGGATCATGGCAGGAAATCATCGCAGAGGATTTGGACTCGAGTATTGATTGAATGACTATGACTGCTATGAGCATTAAGGCTCTGTTTGGCTTAGGCTTAAACAGCAATTTTTTTGATTATTTATGAAATAAAAAATTAACCCCAGTTGACAATGTCTTAAAAAAACAAAATTTACTCATGTGAAGAGAATTCAAAAGCTAAAAAATATTGATTAATTGATGTTTCAATATAAGTTTATACTTTTCACTAAGCTCAAAATTTAGCTTTTTGATCAGGTGCCAAAGGTAATTAAAAAAAAAAAAAAGGAAAGGAAAAATTACATTGATTTTCTCTAAAATTTAGAGAAAATACAACAAATATCACAATTTAAACATAATTATACCACTTTCTCTTTTAACGTAGCTAAAGGGATAAACATGGTCGGTGGGGTTTCCACTTGGTCGGTGGTGATCCACAATGTCCATGGAGCATACCTTGGGATTTGTGCAATTTTCAGAGGAGCAGAGCAGGGGAAACAGAGGGAACTTGTGCATGGCAGTGGACTTCCGAGCGGAACCGAGCGCGCATACATTGGGCCCTCTTCCCGAGGCTACTTTTAATGCTTAATTAGCTTAGTTAATTTGCTTCACTAGTCAATTGTCTGTAATATTTAATTAGCTTGATAGTTAGTTAAATTGTATTATTAATGTAGCCTATGGACATTGAGAGATGGTCTACGGGACCTCTCCTTTCCCTCAGGAAAAGAAACAAAGAAAACCGAGCCTGGTTCGCAAACCGAGGCAAAGTACAAAAGAGGGTTCGGAAGTCTGGAGGCAGGGTTCACGGCCGCAACTCTGAAACTTCTGAATGAGCACATTATGCAACATCACCAAGCGCTCAATCGGTGACGTCTGAGTCTTAAGGTCGGTCAAAAATGTGGTGTCTATAGTGTGTGCATGTCATCCAACCCCCACTTCTTTCTCCCTTTTACTAACCTGCTTTGATGGTTAGTACTAGGGCATATTTAATTTAGCATCCTTATGCTATGCATGCGTGCATCATTCATCGGTATTGCATGCATCGAGCTCGGCACATCATGCTAACTGCATAGTATTTCAAATCTAGCTTGAATACGTGCATCAAATGGTTGTATTTCACATGCCATCCATAGATTAGCCGACCTATTGTAGCTGCATCTTGCGTGTGTTGCATTAGCCATCTTAACATGAACTAGGATCATGCATTGATTGCTAACGAGTTCTTTGTTTTGGCTTGGAGTACACTGTAAGTATTTTGTGCTTTAGTATCTCGCACGAGTGTGAATGTTAACATGACAGCATGCTTACCATGCAGCTCGATGCTTATGTGATATGAACTGCCTGAATGCATGTGGGTGAAGGTTGGATTGCTTGAGTTGGAACAACTCATGAAAATCCGTGTTTTAGCCTACTCACGAGTAGTAAATTTCAAAACATTTTCCAAACAAACGGATATGTGATGCTTTGTTCCGAAGTAGGCGATCTAGTCTATACTTGTTTTGCTGAGCGCATCACATAGTAATTCTAGTTAATTAACTGGAATAAGAACACATAACATTTTCAAAATTGAATATCATGATTAATAGAGGCCGATCTTCGGATCGGGCGAGAGGGGGTGCTCATAGCTGACCTTCCCCAATCGTACCCAAGTTCCTGAGCCGAGGCAACTCTGGTGATGACGGACACGTGGCCTTAGGCAAACGAGTCAGGGTTTTCTAAATTCCCCCATTAAAAAATATTTAGGTGGCGACTCTATATCTGGCAAAGCAGTCCATGTTTGGCATTTCTTTCTAAAAATCTGTTTTCCAAAATGATTTACCGAATTTGGACTCTTTGGTTCAGATTAAGAACTGTGACAATTTGAGAGTCCGAACTGTAGTGAGCCCAAAACGAACAGAACGGGACTCATCCTCCCGGGGCGCTCGGGGACGTCTACAACCACCATCAAGTTCTCTTCCTCAACAATTTCTTACCCTTGCAGATGTGCAAGCCATGTTTGATTTCAAACGGAGCAAGAGGACTTTACCTTCTTTGCCCGATCTGGATGTCAAGCGACTATACCCTATTGAGATGTTAAGTTATCCATACCCGAAAGGGTACACGGTGTCGAAATTCATCAAATTCAATGGCAAGCAAGGAAATGCTCGAGAACATATTGTTCGGTTCATCGAGACTTTAGGGATTCATGGTTCAAATCATGTCCTCCAACTGAGAGAATTCTCCAAGTCCCTCACCGACCGAGCATATAGTTGGTACGTTAACTTGGCCCCAAACTTTGTTTGAAGTTGGGAAGAGATGGTCAACAAATTCCACGCCAAATTCTTTCAGGTGGCCGAGAAAGTGACCACACTTACCCTGTGTAAGGAAAAGCAGCAGGAAGGTGAAGACATTCTTGAATATGTGAAGAGGTTCCAAGACAAAGCCGTAGACTGTCACGAGGCTGTGAAGGAAAGCTACCTGGTCTAAATCTGTGTTGAAGGGGCATTGAACGGATACAAGATGCTTCTTGTTAATCACAAGCTACCCACCTTCTCAGCACTAATTGAAGTATCTCGGAATATCAACATATTTCAATCTCAGGAGATTGGGTTCGAGACTAGTTATAAAACCAGCTTCAAGTCATCCCGAGGACCTTCTGTCACTGCGACTTCCGCGTCTTCTACCCGAAAGTCGCAAGGGGAGGAATTCAGAGGTCAGAAGAGGAAAAACT